TTCTGCTTGGTTTCGTTATCGTTCAACTGAAGAATTTGGTGTGATTCTGGACACAGATACATAGATGGTCTTCTGATTGCAAGGACCAAGCCGATTCGGTGGTTATTGTTATGTATTAATGTGTATATGTTTCGCTGAGGACATCACAACCCATTAGGACAGGTCCGTCCAAATGTGGGCATCTTACTGTCTGTAATGTACTACGGTCCCAGCCCATGCGCATCCTAGAACAAACTATCCACCTGAATTGTGGTGTGAATTGGGGGCATAGGGAAGCATCACACAAGTGCAGCTGCCAGGTTACAGTGTCTTAAAATCACATGCCCCTTTTTAGGCCGGCAGTGTGCATTCATTTGCTGCTGCCAACCTCTGTCAAAATCTGATCTGTTATCCTGAATTGGTTGTCTATTGCACTTTCCTTTTCGTAAGACTCGTAAGATTGTCCTGAGAATGAATTTCGGGTACATATCGTTCTTCTGTGAGCATGACCTAAGTTAAACTCAAGACAGAATAGAGTTTTTCTAGTTTTCTAGGTGCAAAATCTCAATCCTCACGCCTTCTGCTCAAGCATCCTGACATGTCCAGCATTTGTCAAGTATCATGATGGTGTGCATACAACTGAGATAGAATTAAAGTTGTAGCTTAACTCAGTGTGCATGCTTCACACTCATCAGATGGACTTGTGTTTATGTGCATAGTGCATAGATTGGTACCTGAAAGCTTCAGACATTTCATAGATAACGGATTCGATCTCCAGTGCTCCGTTGTGCTTCCTATATGTCTAAACCTTAGCTCGCCTGCCGTTGCTATGATGTGGTTTTATCGCACCCTGTCGAGTATTGCGGATTCATCTCCTTAGTCTTTGCTTAACTTTTCCCTCTTCCGGTTGCGCTATAAATAGGCTGAAGCTGAGACGCTAAAGAGGAAACTCGAGGAAGCCTTAGATTCTATCCAGAAGAAAGATGGGGAAATGTCAACTGTTAACGAAGTATGTGAGATTATCTTGCGAATATACGATGCACATAAAATGACTCATTTACGGCCGTACTGAATGCAGACAAGCCTCTTGTGTTCATCTAGGACCTGTCACTGAGGTAGAATTCAACAGCTGAATCCACGGCGTCAGCGAATGAAAAGTTACCTCTCTCGGGGGCACTGGATAATGTGGTATAAACTTTAGGACTATTTAGCAGGGCTATTGTGTGTTGTTTTAGATTGAGTGTATATAGTATATGCTCACATACATATGGGAACAGCTACCTACTTACAGACTTGTACACGCTCGCACGACACCCATAAATGCATCAAGTACACTCTCATACTCATATTCGCAGGCGTGCTTAAATGAATACGCATACATATGCGCACCTATTTTCATACAGCTATGTACAATAACATAATTTGTTATCATACTAACGAACACTTTGCACATACTCGTTTACTAGCTTGTGACGCAATTAAAGGACAGACTAGATGTGGACGACCAGTTGCTGTCACAATCGCGGGAGGAGCATCACATCGCTAGTGAGAAGTATGAGAGGACGGAGAGGCAACTCATGGACCGGCTTCTAAAGCTGGAAC